CCCACCTTCTGATTCCATCCTCCAATGTTGTTTTTCCCTCTGTAACAATGAGGTTCAGGAAGGCCAGGTCACTCCTCCAGGGGCACTCAGCTCAGCTCTGCACCCTTCCGGCCACTATGGTCCTATCAAGTGTATAGAACCAAGGCGGAGGAAAAACAAACATCAAAACTTGGCCCCAGGGCTTAAGATCTGGCAGGCAGTCAGGTGACCCATGTGAGCCCATCGTTACAAACTGCATTGGTGTCAAGCCCACGCTGAGGGCAGACCGGGAGGCATCACCACCAGGCTGAAATGAGGACTCAGGCTGATGAATCGAAGCCAGAGATCAGGAGCAGAGCAGGACACAACTCAGGATGTTCTGGGGACTGTGGATACTCGGAGGTCCTAACAGCTGGCTCTACACACCGCAGACTTCAGCCCTCTGTCTCCAGCCCCTCTGCTACCAAGCAGGGAGCCGGGAGGCGGCCAGGTGCTCAGGGATTAACTCTGGAGCTGCGCCTGGGGAGCTGCTGGCACAGGCATCTGTAGCCTGGGTCCTGGAAGATGCAGATTTGAGAGTTTCACCTGGGGGTGACAGCGGCTGGCCCTCCAGGGGGCCGTGCAGCCCCGCTTGTGTCCAGGGATCCAGCGACCATGGTGGCAGTCTGCAGTGTGGAAGAGTCTGGCTGTGGACAGGTGCACCGCACCATTCTCCTCTGGGCTGCCTGCTACCTGCATGCATTCGACATTTCTTTATGGCCTTTAAGAAATTACAGGCTCTAGGCGGAACATGGTGGCACATGTCTATAATCAATCCCAGCACTCAGGAGGCTGAGGCAGGAGGATCATTGTGAGTTTGAGACCAGCCTGGGCAACAAAGTGAGCTCAAGGCCAGCCTGAACTGCATAGTGAGACCCTGCCTCAAAAAGACAAAAGAAAAAAGAAATAAATTATAGGCTCTCCAAAGAGATGCACAGTAAGACTTTGTTGATCAAGTTGAAAATAAACATACTTTGGAGTTATGGAGAAGTCATTCATTCATTCAATAAGCTCCCCCTACCCTTTGCTGGGAATTGAACACTGAGCTACATCTCTAGCCCTTTCTCATAAACAAATTTTGTTTTTCTTTTTTCATTTTGAGACAGGGTCTTGCTATGCAATTGAGGCTGGCCTTGAGCTCACTTTGTAGCCCAGGCTGGCTTCGAACTCACAACAATCCTCCTGCTTCAGCCTCTGGAGTGCTGCAATTACAGGCTTGTGCCACCATGCCTGGCTCATAAACAATTTTGAGACAAGGTCTCACTAAGTTGCTCAGGCTGGCCATGAACTTGTGATGCTCCTGCCTCAGCTGAGTGGTTGAAATTATATAGGCATGCACCACTATACCCAGCTAACCAATGTTTTTTGAGTAGTTTTATGAGTTTATGAGTCAGGTAAAGATAAGCAATGATAAGATGAACAAAGCTGGGGCAGGTGGTGCACACCTGTAATCCCAGCATGGGGGAGGCAGAGACAGGAGAATTGCTGCAAGGTTGAGACCAGCCTGGGCTACATAGTGAATCAAGGTCAGCCTGACTTGCATAGCGAGACCCTGTCTTAAAAAAAAAAGAAAAAAAA